CATGCAGCAGGGTAGGTATGGGTCTTGGGGCGGGGCAGAGGGCCGCGCTCGAGCGCATAGTTGCAGCGGAGACTGCGAGACATTGGAGTGTGCGCCGTGGTGGTCTCAGTACGGGGGAGAGGCGCCCGATTTACAGCAGTGCGCTCTTCGTTTGATGCACATGTGGTCCTGCGTCTCTCCAGCGGAGAGGAACTAGGCGGTCCACGAGGGCATCCATACGAAGAAGCGTAATCAATTGGCCTTCGAGAAGGTCGTTCATCTTGTTGAGATCACCGCAAATGTGCAGTTAATGGAGTATAGACATGCAGGTTGTGGATACGTCCTCCCTTGGCAGCGAGACGAGGGCATGCTTGACGCTCAGGCGGGATTGGACGTGGAGCCTGTGCGCTCGGGGACGAGGAGTGGGATGACGGAGGAGGAGATCAGGGAGCAGGCTGCCCTCATTGCGCGCGATCCCATTGGGTCTTTTGTGCCGCCCCCTGTTGAGTCTGTTTTTGGTGCTCGTGCGACTATCTTCCGCCCATACCCCAGGGACGATGAGTCTGCGGACGAGAGGGAGTCGGAAGCAGCGGACGACCCGATGCTTCCCATCCCCCGTGAGATTGATGAGTTGCACAAGGGGATCTTTCGGGGGCACGGAGGAGAGATCACCCACTGCCGCGCGGGAGGATACGCGTCCTTGCACGACCTTGCGGGAGGAGACGCCTGCTCCCATGACTGCGAGTGAGGAGCCGGGTCCTGCCACGACAGTGCGGGAGCGGACGACTGTTTCGTCGACCGCGCAGGAGCAGACGCCTGCTCCCACGACCACGCGAGAGCAGACGAGTATTCCCGCTACGCATTTCGAACCCTCGTCCCTGTCGCCTCTTTCGCGTCATTCTATCCCAAGATTCCCAGCTTCCGCTCCGCCCGCTCCCGTTCGGCATGACGAGCGCTCACCTGCACCGGTTGAGAGGGAGGACTTGGGATCCTCGTTGCGCAGCCGCGGGCATGGATCATTGTTTAGCGTAGCCCGTCAGCTCGTTTTGGACCCGGGTGCATCGAGCAACTTGGGGGAGATGGGTGTTCATAGCGGGGCACCACCGGTGGAGGAGAAAGAGAGACGAGCAGAGGAGCACGGAGCCGCCAGAGCGGGCGGAGTTGAGGGTATTTGGGGTACGGAGGAGGAGGTAGCTGGAGTAGTGGGGGGCGTGGTGGAGGTAGATGATGGTGCGCACGTCGAGAGAGAGGAGGGCGTGCTGCCATCGGAGGTTGAGAGAGAGGACGATGTGGTGAGGATGCAGGAGGCGACGATGAGGGACGATGAGGGAGAGGAGGTTGTGGCAGGGGTAGACGAGAGCGTGGCTGGGGTAGATGATGGTGCTGCCCAGGTTGAGATGGAAGAGGATGTGGTGAGGGCAGATGCTGTTGCGTTGGTTGGGGGAGAGGAGGGTGTGGTAGGGGGGAACGTCGCCCATGGTACACGAGAGGGAGGCGCCCACCTTGACCCGATCGTCCGGCGTTTCGTCGATGACGAGATGGGTCCCACACTAGCGGGTTTGACCCCGGGCACAAGGAGGGCACTGGGGGCGTCGCCATCAGGACAGAGGGGGGCGTCAGGGCTGGGGATGGGGATTTCATGGACATGTCTTTGGGGGATTCGCCCACCCCTGCTCACGCAGAGAGAGAGGATGTGGCGCGTGCCCTAGCGGCCGCTGGGTACTCCACACAGGAGATCGAGTAGGCATTTGTAGAACGCTCCGGGAGAGAGACAGACTCGCTTCAGCAGGGGTGCAAGGAGGTAGTAGAGCAGCCACAGGAGGAGCGTGAGGATGCACCCCCTACGGATATCCACGGAGGTAGTAGTTCGTTGGTACCGTTTACAGGCTTGCAGATGACGACGACGATGCGGCCAGTTCGACCGTGTGTGCAGGGGTCAGGTTCTGGGGAGGAGGCATTTGTTCAGGTACCACCGGTCATAGTCGTAGATTTAGGATCTGAGGCAGTTCTTCATACAGCGGTTACTGGGCGGCGAGCTCCTCAGGATACAGCTCGCCCATTGGATTTCGTGGAGCTCGCACGGGCTGCTGTGCGTGACGTGACGCGGCGGGAGGACACCGACCCTAGCAGACCACTTATGCCTCCTCCTCCTCCGAGATCACGTCACAGCGATTCCCCCTCGACACCAGTCGGTCGGTCCCCCCGTTCACCATCCACGGCCACCAGACCCTGGGTTCGTGACATGACGGCCGTAGGGAGCCTCCCTCTTGACACGTCGCTATTCGGGAGGACGGATATCGACCCGGAGTCCGTACGTCGGGTCACAGTGCACACTGCACAACAGCAGCCAGGTTTGGGTGGGGCTGACACCAGGAGGGGTGCGCCGAGGGAGGTCATGGCGGCAGTATCTCAGCCGCGAGATGTTCGCGGGGTTGGACAGGCCGGGTGTACCTTGCAGGCCGCTTTGGCAGCAGCAGCACGTGCTGTGTGTGAGCAGACATCGCGCAGGAGCGGAGTCGCTCGTACGAGTTCCATGCCTCAGATGATGCCTGCCACGGGGGATGCCGCGTTGGAGGAGTCTTCTAGAGCCGAGGGGTTGGAGATGTCGCGCGGTTATCGTTGTGAGAAGACAGTCGCAGAGGTAACTCAGGTGAGTGCTAGGCTTGTTCGGGTGAGGACGGGGGCTGCCCATGTGACCGTGGTGGAGGACGATCCCGAGATGGAGCCTACACGTGAGGAGGCCCCACAGGAGGGTGACGAGTACAGGGACGACGAGGAGCGTGAGGAGGAGGAGAGCGACAGCGGGGATGATGACAGCTACCACGACGACGACGACGAACCCTCCCCTCTATCGCGGCATGGTTCTCGTAGACGACGTGGCTCTCCTAGAGGACATGATGACGTAGACGACCCGTCCCCTCCAGGGCGGCGGGAGACGAGGAGGAGGAGGAGGCGAGGGTCATCCGTTGCGACAGCGCCGGGGCGAGGGAGTGTTTCGTCGACACGCAACACGAGTGGGGCGAGGCAGAGAGGCAGTGGTAAGGGGAAGGGAAGTCGACGGTATTGACAGCTTCGTTCCCCTTCCAGTGCTTCGACGACGCCTTTATGTTGTTTGTGCTTAGTGTTCTGACGTTTTTGTATATTGTTTAGGATGATGTACATATAGTTAGGTTTTAGGGACTTTGAACCAGTTTATGGACTTCAGCATGTAGGTAGACTGGGTAGTGTCGTCGACAGTGTTTGTTTGTTTCGTTTTTCGGTTTATGTACGACATTTTCATATTGTTTTCTAGTTATTGGGTTTTTGTTAGAGGTTGGACTTCATTCTAACTTGTCGTTTTACGTAGATGTTTGTTAGGGTTTTATTTTCAGCTTTGTTAGTTAGCGATGTAGGCTGCATCCCATCGATGTACGGCCCTGTGCGACTCGGCACGAGTGTCGACAACACATTGTACCATGTGAGATGTATTTCATATTGGACTCCTATATATGCGACTTCGCCGGCACTTCGGCATGACTTTTGTATGACATTTCATGACTACTTTGTTTTCATTGTAGTTTCATGTTCTTCTATGCGGTTATTCTTGTGTGCGTGTGTGTGTGTGTGTGTGTGGGAGTTAATGTGTGCGTGCGTGCGTGCATGCGTGCGTGCGTGCGTGCGTGCGTGCGTGCGTGTGTGTGTGTGTATGGGAGTTTGTGTTTGTGTGTCTGGGCAGCCCTCCCCCAACAATCATTCAATTGTTACGATCCTGGTCGTTTTCCAAGTGCAATTCACAATGAAAGACAATGTCACCCAATTGCGAAAGAAATGAAAGCACTTGCAAAGAGATAAAGACCAGAGAAGAGAGGGGAAGAAGAAGAAGAAGAAGAAGTACACCAGCAAGACCAATGACAATTCCCCCCTTCTCTCTCCAACCTCCTCCTCCTCCTTCACTTTACCAATCTTATTATTCTCTCTATAATAATAATAACAATGAATGGATGAATCATAAAGGTCCAGAATCAATATCCGAAGTTCCCTCTTACTGCTGACTCAACTCCACAACAACAACAACAACAACAACAAGCCCACCATAGTTATGGCTTCCCTATTTTAGCCTTCCCTCTCATGCACAGACTATGGCGGACTGATGAGGGCCCTGCCCTCTGTACAAAACACAACCCAAAGCAACTATGGCGCTGCCGATGTCCAAAGGACAACCCAAGAGCAGCTATGCCGCTGCTGACTGGTCCGCCATGCCTGACTCTGCCTTGAGCTTCCTTGCTGCAGCGCTACCCCAACTGGGGCCTTCCAGATGCAGCGCCCAACAAGGTGATGAAGACGGTGTCCACCATAGCCAGGTAAGTGCCTCAACACTCTCCTACCATGCCCCTTCTTCCTCCTCCTCAAGCTGGACTGCTCGCCATAGCCAGGCTGAGCTCCAACGGTCCCTTCTCCCTCCAAGCAGCGCTGTACCTCCAGCGCTGTGCTCCAGCAGCATGTCGCCAATCCTTGCACGGCCTACTGGCCTCCTGGGCGGTGACTTCCTAGGCCGAGCGGCCTCCCAGCAACCGGTACCTCCTCCCTTTCGGTGGGAAATATCATTGCAGGCTCTGCTATCCTCCGGACAGGCCCTAGACCCGGGCTACTTGGACTGGTACCGGCCTACCTCTAACCTACAGCCTACCGCTACTGGGCCTCTAAAAATGCCAACTTTTTGTCTTCTTTTGCTCGGCCTTTAGTACGATACCCATACCACTACTCGAGTGGTACCGTCCTACCTGCTACTCGAGTGTTTCCCCCCTGCTCTAAGTGTCGCGGGCCTACCCCCGCTACTTGACTGTCTACCCCCCCTTCAACCTTGACATTCGCGGTCACAGGTAAGTACTGGCCGTGCAGGGCCTTGCAAACAACAAGTACCCTTGTGGGTCACACACACTCAACCGACAAGCACACAGACAGCCATGCAAAGCAGCAGGCACGCACACACACACACACAGACATGGAAATCACAGCAAGGGGGACCTCCAGCGCACGGCGATTGCGGCCGCAGCCGCGGGCGCAGCCCCCGTCGTTCGCTTACCCGTCAAATGACGAAGCCGTTCGACGAGGATTCAACGGAGTTGAATCCATTCAATGGGGATTCAACTCCCGTTCAACGGGTTCAACAGGGATACAACGGACGGGGTCGGAGACAAACCTCTGTTTTTTAGTTCACATCGCCGGCGCTGCATGCCCGGCGGTTGTTGCGAGCGGTCCGTTGAACCGAGTTCAACGGAAACCGCCCGTTGTATCATTCAACGGGGATTCAACTCGGGTCTTGTGCCCGTTCAACGGGTACAACGGAGTTGAAAAAATCCCGTTGATAGTTGAATGGACACACAGGGGTCGAGGTTGTGAGTGGATTGAGAGGCATACCTGGTGTTGAAAGCGGACGGTATTGGTCGCTGTCTGCTTGTGTTTCGGGAGAACTGTTGTTGTCACGTTTGGCAATGTACTATAGGCTAGATAGGATCTGACAACTGTAGTCTGGGCAACGACCCGAGATAGGAATCGACATTGGTTCTGTGTTGATGATGATTAGACTATACCAGCATTGTCAACTGTGAGCTTTGTCGTGCTCCTGTTTGGTGAGAATCGTGATACCATTTTGCTGTTGGTTCAAGGTTACGACTATATGATCACACGTGTATGATGGTGTTGGATTTATAGAATTCGCCTTCATTCATTTCTCTTGCATTTTATTGTTTATATTATTATATTATTATTATTATTATTATTATTATTATTATTATTATTATTATTATTATTATTATTATTATTATTATTATTATTATTATTATTATTATTATTGTAATCAGACTTGTCTTCTTTCTCACTTCACATGCATGCTGACAGACGACACACCAAACTGGCGCACAACGCCCACAACAAGCTTAGAGGTATGGCTAACAAAAACACAGATCGATTGCAAGCTCGCTTCGAATGGCTATGGAGTCACAGCGCTAACGACAACTCTATGTGCACACACAGGATCACCATGGGTACCGCACACACAAGTTGTACCTCACACTGCACTACACCTACGATTGTGATTGCACTCTTCGTCCACGCCCACTGCAACTACGGGCATCTGCAGACAGCCTTGCACAAGACGATGTAGCAGCGTTTCCTCGTGGCTCACGCAGCAATCAATGAATAGGTGAACGTTGCCTCTTGATTTATACTTCTGAAGCTCATTGGTCTGCCCTGTTCCATTGGCCCATGGTGCTCACAGTCCCTCGTGGTACTTGCTGGACTGGACTGGGACTGATTGGACCTTACTACTGACTGCTTCGAGACTTACTGCTAACCTACCGAGGTCGTACTGCAATCGCTCTGCAGTTAGTCCACCACTTGACTCACAATTTGCTTACTAGCCCACTGGCCGACCTCCTAAAAGGCTACAGTTAAGACTTATGGACTTTACTAAGACTCCTACTTGACAAATCTACAGCTCGAACCCCTACATCTGCACAGACCTACGACCGACGAACCAACAAACAGGCAGCAAAACGACAGACGACATACGACACACAATGAAAACACATAGTGAGCACAGTGCACGGTCACACACATGCGCCGTACACAGTGAAAGCACATGGCACACTGTGACAAACATACACAGACACTGAAACACACACACAGGTACTTAGACAGTGACGATGACACTGTGACGCACATAGACACGGCGGAGCAGACACAGTGAAACATTGTGACACACACAAACAGACTGTGACATATATACAGTGACGCATACACAAGTGACACACGACACACAATGAAAACACATAGTGAACGCAGTGCACGGTGACACACATGCACTGTACACAGTGAAAGCACACGGTCACACTGTGACAAACATACATAGACACTGTGACAAACACAAACAGATGATGTGACAAGCACTGTACTCAGACATTGTGCACGGTGACAGTAAGACAAAGAGTTTTTTCTAAGGGAATAAACTAGCAGTGTAGTAAGAGGAGCGAGGCTCCGAGAAGCCTGCCTTACCACTATGATAGCAAAGATCAGTGTGGTAAGAGGAGCGAGGCTCCAAGAAGCCTGCCTTACCACTTTAATAACAAAGATCAGTGTGGTAAGAGGAGCGAGGCTCCGAGAAGCCCGCCTTACCACTGTAATAACAAAGATCGGTGTGGTAAGAGGAGCGAGG